GCCCCTAAAGTTCAATAGTTTTCAAACAGCTTTTAGACTCAAAGCTAACAGTATTAGTATGACCCCTGCCTTGAACAGAAAAACTCTTTACAAGGCACAACTTGAAAATAGATTCTCACTCTCCTCAAGTGAGTAACTTCGTCCCATTTATAAAAACATGCAGAAAAAGAGCAAAATATATTCTTAAAAAGTTAGAAAAATAATGTCATCAGCATTTCCTGTGAGTCCTATTTTTTAAAAACGAGCTATAGTGTGTTGAGTGGGTAACAATTTCTTACACAAGCAACTTATAGGAAAGGTACTCAAAAGGAATCAAGTAACTGATGAATCTGACCTCACTGTTCTCACCTTGGGTAGCAGCTGCTCCCTCATATATCTCAGCAGGACTCATGAAGATTGCTAATGACAATCCACTACTGTGTTAAGGATAATGCAAGATAGCAATTTTAATGCCTCTGAGGGTGTTCTATGGAGTTCAGTATTTTCTAAATTACATTTTAAAATTGGCACTACTTCATTTAAGTAATTTTATCTTGCTTTAGCAACATACCAAAAGAATGATCTAAAGTTAGTGCATAAATTAACTTTACTGACTGGATGCAATTATTCACCTGTATTTTTCCCTTAATACCTTGTGGTTGAGATATTAACAGAAATATCTTGACCAGTTACGATGTTTAGAAGTTTAGCTATTTTAGTTACTTTGCTTAAATATACTACAAGAAAAGAAACTAAAGTGTCAATATATTATAGCAATTATAGTTAATTTTCTTCCTCTCCGATAACTTTTTTGTCTGCCTTGAGGAAATGTGTGGTCATGTTTTAGTTAAAAACTAAACCCTTTATGTTAACAATGAATTCATTCAAGTGCCATATTTTTTTTTTTAAGATGCAGTTTTGGATTTAAGTCTTAATGATTAATTACAACATAGAGATCTTCCTTATCCTAATATCCATGTTCTTTTGGAAACTGCAGTTTTCCCCAGATTTATAAGGATTAACTTTTAAAAAGTTAAAGTTATTCCACTACATACGGCATTTTAAACATGGAAATTGTTACAAAAAAAACAAAAACAAAAACAAAAAACCCAACAAAAAGCCAAAGTATACAGCTGGAAGCATAACAAGTTCTTTGTACTCATGACTTATCACTGTGTAGAAATTCTGGAGATAGGACTACGGAAATCAGACCCATAAAGAATCTTCGCAGTACAATCAGACTTCATCATCCCTTTTATTAGAAAGGGACTTAAGCTGTTGCAATCCTTTTGCCTTTATAACTACCATCATATAAAGTTTGGAGACTTAAGTTAACCCAAAAAATAGAACAAAGTTTTACTTTACCTGAAAAGCTGTAGTAATGTGAAGATAAAAACTTCCCATTTGCCTCTTTCAGTATTAGACACTGAGGATTCCACCCCATTAATAGGTGGTACCATTGCTAAGTGACCTATGTCAAGATTACCAGAACCTTTGTTAAAATAGGAGGCCAAGTCTTAAAGATCTGTCGACAGCGGTAGACTCTTTGCAGTCATCATGCCTATTTGCTTCAGAACAGTGTAGTCTTAAACCCTTCTCTAGGTTAATATATTTCCATATTTATCACTATTAAGTCACAAGTTTTTCAGTCTCAGAATAGACTTAAAAAATGATACTCTTACAACATGAAGAGTGAATCTTTTGTACTTTGTACTAGTAAACTGTGTACTTTGGGTGATCATGTGTTAATATAGGTTCAACAGTTACAAGAGACTTACCACTCCGGTGGGGCATATTCATAATGGAGGCTATGTATAAACAGAAGCAGGGGATAGATGAAAAATCAATTTTATTGTGAACCTAAATCTGTTCTAAAGAATATAGTCTATTAAAAGAAAGGCACTTACTCCAAACAATTTTAAAGCTGTAAGCAAAACTCCGAGAATTTTCTTAGTAAGTTACTCTTCATTTAGTTTGTATTCATTTAGTTGCTATTCCAGGTGGGTCTGTACTATCTCTTGTAAATTCTTCAAGCAAACCAGTTAATTACAAAGCAACATTAGATAAATGTACCATAAATTCTATTATACAATCAAGTTGACTTTAAATAAGATCTACTTTAACAAAGTTTATGACAAAGATTCTAGATTTATAGGAGATTCTATTATCTCATCACGTTACCTCTCTAGCAAATTATATAAATGCTCACCGCTGATAAAAAAAATAACGTTCACCAATATATCACATGAATGGTTATGGTTTTATTCTTTGAAGAATGGTTCTGAAACATTACACTAAGTCAGGCTGAAAGGTAAAGTTTAAAATAGTTTTATAAGGGTATAACATATGACTGTTTGCTCCACAAAATTTTTGACCTTAGAGCTTATGATACACCTAGTTGGCAATAACACCCAGGTTTTTCCAAATAGTCATCATTTTTCTCTCGTCTGCATAGACTTCTTCTCATTAGCTGCCTTCTGCTTTTGTTGCATTATCTCAGAGTCCCTATAATGGGGGAAAAGGCTGTAAGTTGTTACAGAAAAACTGATTTTATGTTCTTACTTGTTTTGTATACATAACCCATGAAGCATATTAGGAAACAATCTAAAAGATATAAAGATTCACTTCTTTCTGTTTTCATGGCAACAGAATGGGAAAACAAAGTATGGAAGGGCTTTGAAGTCACATCTTATTTTGAAAACCATCTCTATTGTTATTGGGCAAATAATGACCTTTCGAAATCAGGAAAGTAGTTACTAGGGTTGTTTTGTGGAATAGCTATGAATATATCTATCCGATATTAGGCAGCTATATACAGAAATAATGGCAATTACTCTTGGTTGTCAACAAAGTTAATATATTCTATTTTTCTCTGAAAGAAGGAGCATTTAAGAAGTCTTCTAGATATCCAAAATGGTACCTAGCATTAGGACATAGATGTTATGAAGCAATTAAGTTTCTTACAAGCCTGAAAGTGCGATAGCTAGTGATTAAAAATGGATTACACTAAAAAACAGCAGGATATTCAGGCACTTCCTTAACCCTTTGTGTCTTCGGTTGAACCTCCATATATCATATTAACTCAACTATAACCAGACTACCTGGGCTAGATGGTCCAGGAAATCCTTATTTAAAAAAAAAAAAAAAATACATTAAATGGCTTTGTAATCAATACCTACTATGTGCCAATTTGCTGACTCTGGATTAAGTCCCATAGAAACTGTTATTATCCCCATGATTCAAAAGTTTAGAGCTAAATAATTTGCCTTAAATCACATAAAACCCAAGTTTGTCTAATTTCAAAGTTCAGGCTCTTTCCTGTTATCACATAGATTTACTGTGAGATTTTACTTCAGGGTGAGTAGCTCTGTCCATGACAGTAGACATTTCCGTAAAGCCAATAGCAAAGATGAGGAATGAGGATGAAGGAAAAACAAGACAGCTACAAGAAATGAAGTATCATGGAAAAGAATACTGATAGTTACTTTTCTGTTTGAAGCTGAGCTCTGTTGTGCTCGCTGTACCCTTAGTAATGTTACTGAAGTTCAGAGCCTCAGTTTCCTATTCTATACATTGAGGCTAATACCACTTTTCAGGGTAATGAAGAGAGATAATACGTATGGAGTAAGCACAGAGCTTTCTAACAAGTGGATATTCATTTAACAGGGACTATTACTGAGCCAAGCTAGACTAGGGTTTCCCACTAAAAACTTCAGGGTCACTGATTTGTACCATGTTCACTTTTACTCCAATGTGGGTAAACAGAAGTTTAGGGAAAACCTTATCACTTTAAAATCATAGAAAGAAAGCATGAAGTGATAATTAACCCAATGTGGGCCTTGAAGTCATGATTCAAGAGTCACATTCTTCACTGTTGAGCTAGCCAGGTGCCCCCCAAATGATTATTAACTCTAGTGGCACATTGGAATCACCTGGGGACCTTTTTAAAGGCAGGTTTAACTTGGGCACAATAAAATTTACCTAGAGCACTGGTTATGCCCAGCCCCAGACCAATTAAATCAAGACTGGATTTAAGGTACAGGCTTGAGTAGCCTTTAGGGTTTCCCAGGTGGTTCTAATGTGCAGGCTTGAGAATCGCAGAGAAGCCCCGCCGAAGCATGTGTTGTCAATTCTCCACCTGACCTCCAAAGTGTACATATACAAAATTTGTTTTTAGAAAATTAAGCTTGTTATAAATATGAATGCTTTTTAAAAAATTTAAGCTGCACTCTCCAAATATTTCTGTAGCATTTCTGTATTATTTTTCACATATAATCATACATCAAGACTGTGCACCTGCATTTTCTCCAACACAAAGGATCTTCAGAAGTCAATATAGCTACATACACTTTTTTGTGTCTCCTTCAGAACCTTAATCCCTGTAATTGAGTCACCTGTTATCTTGACTAGTTTGGGTAGGATGTCTGCCTTGAAAATGCTGTATCTCTATTACCTAACAGTGCCTGCCATGTGGAAGGCATTCAAATATTTTGCTAAATGAAATTTTTATGGTTGTGGTGAGTGAAGCCTGAGTGTCTCTTCAAGACTATGGCTTGAGAGCTAGAAATTTTTCATTCATGTATTGGGATAATTACTACCTTATATAGTTTTAGTGTGCACGCAACAAATGCTCAACTGTTACCCCTATATGCAGTCTAAGTTCTACCAAGGATTTAAAACATTTAAAACATTCTCTCCATTCTCCAAAACAAAAACTTGAAAATTTGACTTGAAAATTCCATTAGTATCACTTACCTCTGCTTTCTCTGAGAGGTGGTCAACCTATCCTCTTTTCTTTTTCCCTTGCTAATTTCCTGGGATTTCTTCATGTTTTTCTGGCGGGCAAGTTCTCGCTGATTTCCTCCTACAAAGTCAAAGTCATGCTCTTTCCCCATCTCAAAAGTAATTACGAATTCCGTAAAAACGCTCTTATTTAAATGCATCTGAAGTTAGCTTTTTAACAGATACTCCAGCAGAGTAATTACACTGAACGCTGTTCCCGTATCTGACGAGGAGGAAGCTTAGAGGTAAACACTTAAGAATATTATGATACCGGGGCGCCTGGGTGGCTCAGTTGGTTGAGCGACTGCCTTCGGCTCAGGTCACGATCCTGGAGTCCCTGGATCGAGTCCCGCATCGGGCTCCCTGCTCGGCAAGGAGCCTGCTTCTCCCTCTAACCCTCCCCCCTCTCATCTACTCTCTCTCTCTCTCTCATTCTCGCTCTCTCAAATAAATAAATAAATCTTTAAAAAAAAATATTATGATACCAATGAATGTGTTCACTGGCTGTAAATACCAGGTCTCTTACAACAGGCATTCCACTCCTCAGTCTATACGGGTCAGTATTCCAAATTAAGGTCTAGCTTTTGAAAAGCGTGAATGGAAAGGATAGATACACAGGGAACACAGCTCCACAAGTTGGCCCATCACAATTCGACTGTTAGGCGAACAAATGCGTCTATTCGAGAAACATTACCTGTAAGGGCCAAACAAAAGAACTAGGATAGGAGACTCAGTCGGAGCTTCCAGTCCTCATCAGGCCTTAGGACCTTAAGTACCAGCTAGAAACCCCTTTCAGAACAGGACGCCTCCCGGGACCGCCGTCCTCACACACCTCATCTCCGGAGAGGTGTTCTTTACCGTGTAAACTCGCACCTGACCGGCAGGTACTAGCCCGATTTCTCAGGCGGACCCGAAGCTAACCCTCCCTCTCCCTTTGCGGACTGAGATACACCAGCCAGCCCCCGCCTCCGGTCCAGCTGCGCTTCGGAGCTAGCCTCCCTCAGCGGACGCTCCCCGCCGCGTTCCCCACCCGTCCGCACACTCACGGGCCATGCCGACACCGGACCGAGCCTGGAAGAGAGCCCCTGGGGAAAGCAACGGCCTCCTAGCACGCTCAGCGGCCGTCCCCACTGGTGGCCCTTAAAGGCTGAGCCCGTGCGGGCCCTCTGCGGGGCAACGCCTCCCCTCCTTCATGGCCCCGCCCACCGAGGCCGGACCTGGGCCTCCCGCGAGCCGGGCGAGCGACTGCGCGTGCGCTGCCAGGTAGGCGGGGCTGCCCCCGCCAAGGGTCCCCGGCCCGCAGGTTGGGAGATTAATCTGCTATCTGGGGTCATTCGGCCACAGAAGTACGGTCGAGTCTACACAGCAGGTCCTGCGTCTGTGGATTTTACCCACTGTGTACCCACAGTACTGGGGCCTGGCCAGCCTCCATTTTTTGGTAACGACAAAAACAATAAATGCTACTGTATCTCATTTTTCAACAAAGAACGTTAACTTTTATTCATCCCTTGCAGAAGCGGGAAGAGGAGGAAGGGGACAAAACAGATTGAGGGTTAACTGCAGAAGTCAGTTTGGCTCTTTACATATTTTCTTTCATTCCTGCACCAAGCCTGTAACGTAGGCTTCATTGTTCTCATTTTACGAAGAGGAGATTGAGACTCTGAGACCAGGAGCGACTGACCTAACAGGTAGGGACTTGTAGAAATGAGATCAAATTTAAGACAGACTCGTAAGTGTCTTCATTTCCCGTTTGATCTCAGTGCCTCTGTCATGGTCGACAGTAGTTTAGGAGTTTTAGGTTAATGGCTCTGTGCTTGGGTTGTGTGATGTGAAGGGAATGGCAGGGAATGCAGTTTTATCACACATTCATAATAGCCCAGGACAACCTTGGAACCTGGGTAAAAGCCGTCGTGCGTTTGCCATTGCTAGAAACAGACGTGGAAAGATGCCTATTGGTTAATTTGGTTAATACTTATATTCTTCATCTATCCCGTTAATTATTACAAATTGATAAATGTGTGGAGTTAGTCTGTACACCGTAAAATTGCCCTATTTTTTAAAAAAGATTTAGTTAGAGAGAGGGAGAGAGCACAAGAGGAGGGAGAGGGAGAAGGAGAGAAGTAGACTCCCCTCTGAGCGGGAAGCCAGTTGCTGGGGCTCCAACCCAGGACCTTGAGATCATGACCTGAGCCCAAACCAAGAGTCTGCTGCTTAACCCACTGAGCCTCCTGGGTGCCCCCCCCCCAATAGCCCTGTTTCTAGAAGACTTTTATTTTGGAAAATGTCAAACATATACAAAAGTATAGAAAATACCACAATGCACTCTCAAGTATATATGACCAAGCTTCAATAATGTTTATTTTAACTCCTAAGAATCACCTATTTTAGAGAAGGTAGGAGAAAGTGGTGAAGACTTAGAACTCTGGAAATGGAATGTATTGGTTGAAAGCCCAGCTCTACCAATGAGTAGATATGTGAACTTGGGCATGTTACTTCATTGCAGTAAAGCTTCCTTACCAGTAAAATGGGAAGGTAAATGTACCTCCTTAATTAACTGAATTAGTGTATGTGAACTACTAAGTGCCCAGTATATGGTAGACCTCAATAAGTTACCTATTATTGTCATTCTTTTAACCTCAGAGAGCCTTGTGTGCTTGTCACTCTCCTTAAGCCCCACCTCTCTTCAATAGTGCTTATGTCTAATTCCACTTAAGCAACTTCTGGAGTAACGAGCAGGGGGAAAAGATTGACTTTCTGGCCTGGCTCATAAAGAAGGGAAGGAAGCAGTTTGGGATTGGAAGGTAAGTGGTAGCATTGTTGTTTCTGTGTGTGGTCTTAATTTACAGTCTAATTGAGCTTTTTCTTTGCGGCTGCAAATATACTTTGTGAGTTGTAGGGATACATATGATATACACAAGAAATGTTGGGCGTGTCTGCCAGAGAAAACTGAAGACTTTTGAAATTACTGTGATGCCATTATGAATTTACTCCACAAACTTCGTTGTGTAACAAATATCTTAGGACTTTATATTTATTTATTTTTAAAGATTTTATTTATTTATTTATTTGAAAGAAAGAAGGGGTGGGTAGAGAGCGAGCTCGCGGAGGAAGGAGCAGAGGGAAAGGGACAAGTAAGACTCTAAGCCGAGCGCAGAGCCCCCACCCGGGGCTCGATTTCAGGACCTGGAGATCATGACCAGAGCCAAAATCAAGAGTCAGACGCTTAACCAACTGTGCCACCCAGGTGCGACTGACTTTATATTTAATAACAAAATTAAATCTTTGTTCCCATGTTTATACTAGTGAGAAATTAAATCTTTGTCATTATTGACTGCCTTATGTACAGAATTGTGGGAATGCCCTAGATTCTTAGGTGGAACAGAACATTTGGGGAAAGGCAATGTGTCGTTGTACCAGAATATATTGTGCAAAGCCCTGTGGTCCTGGTAGCGGCTCCAAGATTCCTGAGACATCTTTAGTAGGGGTTTCTTTGTCAAATTCTTGAGCTTCTCTAGGTGTATCTGATGTCCTGGTCCCTCCCCCAGGGTATTGGAGGGAGCCCACAGAATCCACAGACCTCCAATTTCTTTCCAGTCTGAGAGGAATTTCTTCTCTCTTCTGTGCTTGTATCCTTGTTATCTTACTTTCAAAAACACTTGCCTTTCTTACTCCTTCTTGATGACATAGCAAGGATTAATTAATAAAGGATTTAATTCATTTGACATTTTGTTATTAATGTAGCAAGCAGGATGTTCTTGTAAAATCTTGTCCTTCCAAGAAGGAAGTCGGGCCTCTCTGTTGCAATGAGTCAGGGAATTTATATTGCAGGTTCAAAAACTGGCCCATACTGTGTGGGGCCAGCCTCATCTATGGCCATTTTTCCTGACATTATAGAAGCCTAAAGTACTTCCTACCTAAAGTAACCCAGCCTTCCATTAATCTCTGTCATAGTACCATTTATTTATTTATTTATTTTAATTTTATTTATTTATTTATTTTTTTGATTTTATTTATTTATTTGACAGAGAGAAACAGCACAAGTAGGGGGAGTGGCAGGCTCCCAGC